TTTATTTTGATAAATCACACACAGTGTTGTACAGTTATATTAACTGATGACCACCTTTCGAGCACAAATTATTGCCACTCATAATCATATCAAGTTACTCACACAACTTTGTTCTTTCATTTATATACATGTGTAGAATCGATTAGATATTGGATTAAAAATCAATGTGAGATAATGTCCATTCCGAAATAATAGTACTAGTGTTGTTGATCAATTGCAGTTAGATGGGAAAAAAGGACGAGTGTGTTTTACAGTCATAATAAGCTACTTGTTAGAATGTTGTGTTTGAATGTGTTTGAATTGAAATAGAATTTTAAGATTATTTATTATCCTCTTCTGATTTGACTGACTGGTGGTAATAATGTCTTCGATATTTCTGGTATTTGCATTGAGCCATTTCTGTTGCATGTGTTGAGTGTAGACTCGATAAATAAGGATTCTGCGATCAACCTCTCTCTCCACCTACATAGATTACTTTTTAGAATTTTAACCCTATCCCACCCTATTGTGTGGTTGAGCTGAGCTTTTTTCTAAATTACTTATCTTTTCAGGATCAACCATTCTTACCTTAGCTAAATTCTTATGTTCTGATAGTCTGACTATCCCTGACCTACTAGTTTGACCTATATAGTTGACTTAACTCACAGTCATTGCAGGGTATTTTGTAAATTATATTATTTTGTTTAATTGGATCCACCGGGTCTTTTAGCCTACAGAGCTTGTCTCTGAGTGAGTTTGTAGGTTTGAATCCCACCCTAATTCCTGCTTTATTAAGAATCCTACGTAGGGCCTCAGACGTCCCTTCCTTATATGGTATAACAGTGGATGATTTATATTCTTTCTTATTTGTGTTATCATTAATAGTTTCACGATTATTTTTATTTTGCTTTTGGTTTTTACTGATCTTCCTAATGAATTCTATAGGATAGTTAGTTATTCAACACCAACGCTTCTTCTATCTGCTTTATTTCGTCATTTAGGTCTTTTTTTGTGCTACTGAATGCTATGGCTCGGTTTGTTAGACACTTCACTAAGCCTGTCTTAACAGTTAACGGATGAGACGAATTAAAGTCTAAATATCTACTAGAATGCGTTGGTTTTCTATAAACACTAGTGTGTAGTTTGCTTTCTTCTATTCTTTTTATTTTACAATCTAACATAGTTAATTAGCCTAGTTCATTTTCTGATTCCAATGTGAATTTTAATCCCTCTACTTGTGAGTTTATATGTGTCAGGAAGCTAGAGATATGTTCTGTTTTTAACACCGTGAAAGTGTCATCCACATATCTCCACCATATTTTTGGAGTAGGGTTAAACGTATTAAGAGCACTACTTTCCCAGCTGTCCATAAATATGTCTGCTACGATAGGGGATATTGGTGATCCCATTGCTACACCTTCTGTTTGTCTATATATTTTACCTTGGAACTTAAAAATGGTAGATGTGAGACATAACTGAATCCCTAACATAATTTCTTCAATGGGCATCAGTTAATATAACTGTACAACACTGTGTGTGATTTATCAAAATAAAATCTTATTCATAATGGAGTTATACTCTACCACAGTGCCCAAGTTTTAGACTTATACCCTTAGGAGATCTCTGTTCAAATACGAAGAACCTTGAATGTCATTTGTCAATATGCGTCGTCGTTAGTGCAGATGAGACACCTGGCTATCCACCAAAAAATATCATATGCACTACACTACAGTTCATTCTGTCTTTCTTTACGACTGTTAGACATTGCAGTTGTAAGTGAATGGTATAAAGAGACTGTCATTGAACATAGATGTTTACATTGTATCCATTGTGGTCGGTAATACTGAAGATGAGCCAAGAGTGTTCGACAAGATGCAGATGTGAGACTACATCGTTAGAGATGGCTAGGGCACATGTTACGCTTGCCAAGCCATTACCGTTTTGATCAAGCAGTATGTCATCTGATACAGATTAGGGTAGGGAAGGCATTGCAGGAGGCAGTGACTCTATATGTCATCTCTCAGACACACTAAATTCTCATTATTCGTCATGCAACAATTCACCCCCCCCCCTACATTTCGGTTTATCATTATAGTTACTTTGTATTTTATTTTTTTTAGCTTCATATTTGTGAGCTTTTTATGGAGTCTGACAGTTTGAACCGGTGCAATTTTTAGCAATATTCTACACGCTGAAATATCTGTTCAATTTAGTTGATAGCCCAGAAACAATGTTAAGTGATAAGCGGCATATCATTTTTCAGCAATGCACGTCAATAAATGAATTTTCCTAGATCAGTTTATAAAAACACAAAGTACAGATAATCGAGGTTGGATAGCTTAGAAGAGTATTTCGCATCGAATTATATAAAGCAATACACAAATATAAACGTAAGAATAGAATTCAATTTGAATAATAATCTAAAGCATTCACAACTACATATTCGATAGTGTGAAATATTCCCATATCACATGAATTTAAAGTCAATCTGAACGAAGAATATTCTTTTCAATACATCCTTCTCCTCTTCAGGTTCTTACAATTATAAAATATAATATTTGTTGTCGTTACAATATATATAGTGGCCAGTTATGCGGTGGCGGCGGATACATTTTTAACGTAGAATAACAGATTAGTAGTTATGGGGTGTCAAAATAAATAGTCGTATTTGTGTGACAAACGTGCTAGTTGGCTGAAATCGACTACAAAAATATTTTAAAACTGGAGACAATAGTGGTGATTAGTCATAGATTTGTAGAGTGTGAGGTAGGAAATAATATTAATAATAATAATAACAATAATAATAATAGTAGTAATCATTGTAATTATTATTCGTCATAATCTATACCCTTCATTCAAACATTCTCCCAGTACTATCGAATTTTTCATTTATACTATCCGGACTTATTATTAGTGATATTATCTCTTTTCTCAATATATGCCTCCATCACTTTCATTTCGCATATTCGTTACTTCATCATGAACCACCTCTCATTGCAGTCTTACTATCTCCCCCTGTTTAACACAGACCACTTTGTACTAGCCACTCACACTCACCTGACATCTTTTATAACCTTGAACTGACTTACTTGTCAATTTTCCTACCCTACACTCTACAAATCTATTATGACTATTCACCACCATTGCCTCCCGTTTTACAATATCTTGTAATCGATTTCAGCCAACTAGCACGCTGGTCACACAAATACGACAAATTATTTTGACACCCGATAACTAACTAATCTGTTATTCTACGTTAAAAATGTATCCGCCACCGCATAACTGGCCACTATATATATTGTAACGGCAACAAATATAATCATATTTTATAATTGTAAGAACCTGAAGAGGAGAAGGATGTATTGAAAAGAATATTTTTCGTTCAGATTGACTTTTAACTGTATATTCAGTAATTGTTCATGTTTATTACCTTGGATGTCTGACGTTCAACGCTGCACTATATTGATGCATGCATATATGTATACATGGATTTTCTATAGTTTGGTTTGTAAGGGTTAGTTTTGTTTTTGTGAGTTGATCATGGATTGATATCAGTTAGAGAACCATTGAAAACCATACACAGGGAGTACTGGATATCTGCTGTTTCATCCTAGTTTGCGAATCATCGACAGTACGCACCCACTGCACTGGGGTTCCAACCCAGGACCTTCAGGTTAAAAGGCAAGTTCGTATACCATTCAGCCACTGAGACCCGATTCAATGGCTCATGAATTCTAACTTCTACGCGACCACCATCCATCTAGATGTCACGTGTGAGGATGGATGTCCCACCTACAACAATGGTTGGGGTCGCGCTAAATCACGAATTTTAGCAGAAGTTAGAATTCATGAGCCATTGAATCGGGTCTGGTCCCAGTGGCTGAATGGTATACCAGCTTGCTTGCTTGTAGCCGGAAGGTCTTGGATCCGAACCCCTGTGCGGCGGGTACGTACTGACGTTGAATCCCAATATAACTAGGATGAAACAGCTGTCCAGTACTTCCTGTGGCTGGTTTCCAATGGTTCCCTAATTGATATCAATCCATGATCAACTCGTATATACATGGATGTTTTAACATGTAATCTAGTAACAGTCTTTTCATCACACGCACGTATCTCTTGAGATTTAGATCTTAATTATTCGATGTTATGATAAAAACATCAGTGTCATCAACAACAACAAGACGAACAATAACAGGAGCTTAACTCTTTTTCCCATTCCATTGCGTTCTGAGTGAAACGTGAAGCTTACGCCTCTAGAGTTACCGTAGTAGTGATGTGCTTTTTTCAAAGAGTTGAGAAGGGTTATGATAACCGTACTCTCATCAAGCTCCCCTCTTTGATGGTCTCGATAACAGTTGAGAGGGAGAGAGATAGGTCTAAGTGTATGTCAGCCGGAAACTGGAAACTCGTATCATGTAAGCGTAGTAAGTTGAGCAGTATTCATTCTACCAGTGAGCCACCACGACGACGCACTCCCTAGGCTATTATGAATTTACATGTGTAGAGCAGCATGATGAACAAGTTATCGAAGAGAATATTTTTGATTTTGTTCATTAATTCAAGTGTTTATAATAAGCATATATATTTTGATTGGACACCAGTAACTAGTGTGACGTGTCTAATCCTTTCTTTGTTGCAGACTGAATTTTATCAGTCACATTTTCAATGTGGCCACCATTTTAGGCAGCTCGCCATCATGGTGGAGGCAATCGGCCACAGGAAGCCTTGGACTTGGGTTTTGTGCTAGTTGGAACTCGTCAGCAAGGCGTATCTGCGACCTTGAAGGAACTCATGTCCCTCCTTCTGAGATTCGAACCCGCGTCAACCAGTGCCTCCTGCAGTCAGAGACGTTACCACTCAGCTATTCGGGCTCACCATTGACCCCCTGTAGGACTTTAGTGGGTGTTTTGATTGGACACTAGTAACTAGTAAGGTGGCATATATATATAATAATTATTATTATCAATGCAAATTATATACTGTTTACAGTAATTACATCGAAATTGATTCAAATTTACCTTATTAACTTTATTCAGTTTTCTAGCATTTGTGTAAATTTTCTGTGATGCAAATGATGAGTCGGTATTAAGTGAATATGAAATATCTGAATGAATTGAATCACCCAAATGTTGACTATTGGTAATGACACCAGTGGCAGTATTAGCAGCAACAGAAACAGGGACAGTAGTAGGTGCAGTAAAAGTGCGACTACGATTTGTACGATATGCAGCTAAGTAAATATAATAATAATAACAATAATAGAAAATTACAATTATGAAATGTTAAAAATAATCACTATTCATTTAGTAGTTACTTTGATGCCATTATCATTAATAGAATTTAGAGAACTCCTAAGGTTAATCAATCCCTACCTGAATTCTAGCGAGATGTCGTGACCAGTAGGGTAGAGAGGGTTGGGTGTCAGGACAAATACCCACCAGTGATGACATTGGCTAATGGTCGCGCTATACCGTGAATCGGCACAAGTTGGAATTCATAGGCCGGCCATTAGGTCGGTTCCTATTAGCTTCATGGTATATGAACTCTCCTTTTAGCTGCAAGGTCTTGGGTTGGGACCCGGATGGGTGCATACTGCCGACAAGTTCAAAACTAGGTTGATGAAACAGCTTTCAAGTAGTACCTAGTGGTTTTCTAATGGTTCTCCGACTGTTTTCAACTCATGATGAAATCCTGAAACCGATCAAATCACTGCAAACCAACAATTGGAAATGTTCTCTGTCTGTCAAGAAATCGGATTCATTGGGTTGATTTCTTGTGACGGTTAACGATAGCGAAACTGATGGTAAAATGTTTTGATAAAGTCTCAGGTTGGCAGATCGTTATTGGCGCAGTGGATCATGATTGTGAAGGCAAAATATACATAATTGCATAGCAGCAAGATTTTATTTCAGTATGACCACTACCTCCAATTTGTCTAAAGATAATACCAACAGTAACAGAACTGCCAATGAACAATAACCTTCGAACAAAAGGAGAATGGATGAATGTCATAAAGTTATCGAAAGCCGGAACAGCAGCAGGACCAAATGGAATTCTTCCGGAAGCCCTTAAAATAGATCCAGAAACTTCAGTGGACATTTGCACGCAGAAAGTCTGCAAGGAGGGAAAAGACCCTACTGATTGGAAGGAAGATTATCTTGTTAAATTACCAAAGAAGGGCCATTTGGGCTTTTGCAAAAACAGACGCGGAATTATACTTCTGTGCACATCTACCAGAGTATTAAGTGGCATCATCCTGGAGAGAATAGAAGATGCATTGGATGCAGAACTGCCACCCGTAACAACCTAGACGCACGAAAAACAAGTCATGTGCGGATCAAATCGCATTGTTATGCACCGTTGCCGGAAAGGGCATGGAATGACATTCAAATATCTACCTCAAATGCATCAATTTTTAAAAATCCTTTGAGAGCGTTAACCACCAAGTGATTGAGAAACAGCCTAATCATTTCGAAGTGACGAAAACTCTTATTAACGTCATTCAACTGCTGTATGATGATTCTTAAAGAAAAAACTCAGTAGTCTCTGAAGTCAAGACAGGAACAAGACAAGAGTGTCAAACATTACCCAGAATATTGCTGATTGTGGCGAAGTGGATCATGCAGCACGGCGTGAAGAGCGAAAAAATAAGAATACGTTGGAATGATACGATTTTAGGATATGTGAACTTCGTGAATTATTTATGTCCACTGTCACGCGCACTCGAATATCTACAAGCGAAAACCAACTAGTCAGTGGAAAAGGCAGCCAAGACAAGACTTCAAGTGGACTTAGAGAAAGTACGGGTTATAAATATACTTAACCAACACAACACCAACAAGTATCAATCATAATCAGTGAGAGAAATTTGAAGTAGGTTATTTCTTTAACTTTTTTTTAAACAGAATCGTTTTTAATTATAGGCGGCACAGATGAATACGGCTTAACACTAACAATAACGCATAAAAATCACTATTAACGACGGGGAAAGTGTCTTCCTCATGTTCCTGGGCCGCATTGTTTCAAGTACAGTTCACACTGATGGTGTAGAAAAGCAAAACAGTTCTCCATTATTCGGAAATGAGTGAGAAAATCATTTACTTTGAGGCTAATGAAACAATATCGGAATTTTCAACATCAGTGTCAAGTCAGTCAGTGTTGCTATATGATTCAAAGACTTGGTGCATGAGTCACCAAGCTACTGCGGGGACCTCTCTCTTCGCTACACAGTGAAAATAAGATAGCTGAGTGGAAAGGGTTAGCTACAAAAAAGTCTAGCAATGAACGGACCAAGAACAATTTTGTCAAACATATATGCATCTGGTAATGGAGATAGATCTGAGACACGCACTGTAGAGGAAGGCTTCGTGTGCCTTTGGAAGTGTGTGGGCGATTGTTACTTCCTTGCTGCCCACACCGTGGAAGTTAAGCAATTCTTCGGGTACCTGAAACAGAGAGAGGGTTAGTTCTGCGTGACCACATAGCCCAGAGGACAACTGCTTGAGGTCAGCCGGTCATACACGGCCTGTATGAACTGGTTTCTGGGATTGGTTTCGTATTAGTAAACCTACCGCTGCCGGTTACGGACCACCGTAGGTGGGGTAAGTCGGGATGTACAATTTTTGGGGTCGATCTTTTCTAACCCCATCCTCTCCGGAGTGGAGAGACAGCATAGCTGGCCAGCTGGCATGCTGGTCATCTGAGCGTAACACCTCACTGCTGTTTCACTCCTGTTCCCTAGAAGTACGACTTCGCTCTCAGACCCCCAAGCACAATGCCGGTAACTCCTTTTAGTCTAATCTCGCTATCCTAACAACCTTCCTAGCATTATAAAACCTGCAGGAACATTGGTTCCAGCCAATGCAGCTAGTTGCGTCATCGTGATGTGCAAGCCCGGCGACCACCACGTCAAGGTAGCAGCTATCGGTCGGGGCACTGTGGAGAGCATTGAGTGACATCCCATGCCAGACAGGTGTTTAAGTGAAAGTCGAACAAGAGTCGGTCTTACCTCTGAGGGTGATTGGTTGATATACAGGGGATCGTATGTGGGTAGATACAAACGTATGAGTAATTTTGGAGTCAGGTCAAAACAAGGCTGTAGAAAAACACCATAAAGTTCACTCAGAACCAAAGGGAATAAAAAATATCAATAAATTCTAAACTTACGAACAGCATCACTAGGTAGAAATATATTTTCAATTGATTGATCTGTTTGATTTGTTAATTGACCACTATCGATTGATGTTCTATCATCATCATTATCATTATCGATCTGAGGATAATTACCAATGCGAAAGGATAAACTATTCCAATCATAGATACTACTAGGATTACTTATTGTATTAGTAGTGTTAGTAGCCGTAGTATGATGATTGCTAGTAGTATGTTGATATGCAGATCTAGTTAATCGTTTATCTAAACGAGTTGTTGAACAGTAGGAATTCCGCTGTCGACTCTTCACGTTTCCATCACCAACACCACCGCCAACACCTCTACTACTACCGCCACCAGCACCACTAACTGCTGAGTATGGATGTCTACAATTAAACTTTGATAAATGCGATCCCCTCACACGTTGTTTATTCTTTTCTGATGGCATGGTTGACTTTGAATGATAATAGTGCCAGTAATATTTATTTCTATTATTATTTGTATTCATCATTGTCATCATGACTAGACCTGTTTCACCAATATGCTTTAAATCCATGATTTCTTTACTTGTATAACATACATATCTTGGTGTACTAGAGCCAAAACCAATTGGAAATGAATTGGTTGCTGTTGTTGTTATTGTTGACTGTGTCATTACTGCAGTCGACGGTGTTATCGTCGCCGTCGCCGTCGTTGTCGCCATTGTTGTTGTTGTTTGTGTTGGTGGGGGTGGTAATACTTTTGTACTATGATTGTAAATGGTTTTACGTTGACTTAAAGATGATTCTGGTCGATTATGAAATGTTGATTTATTGGATTGTTGTTGTTGTTGCTGTTGAGGGAGTTGTGAAGCATGTGAATGATGCGTGTGAGCATGCGTATGATGATAATGATAATAATGATCACAATGAAGTTGTTTAGCCAGTTGATGAAGACGTTGCTAGATATAATGCAAAATGTTTATCATTTTTTGCGATAAGATTATCACAATAAGATACTATTAAAATACTACTAATCAGTTAACATTTTAGATGAAAATTAAAATTCTGATTCAGATAAATCTGAAAATGACAACAAATGTCAAAAAAAACAACAAAAAGCAACCTGAATGGTCCTTGATTTGATCTCTGATGTGCTGATGAAGAGTCCTAAAATGGGACGAAATAGCTATCCAGTTCTTCTTATTTTCCAATAGTTCTCTAACTCATTTGAATCCGTGATCATAATTGAAACAAATCAAATTCTTAACAACTAACACCTGGAAATTGGTGTCATGTTCACTAGGGATTGAATGCAGGAAGAAGGTGTCTGGAATTCTAGAGAGAAGTTATGCTCATCAGTGGGTTCCACCAGATCGACTGTGATCACGAGTACTCATCAATAAAATTGGGTGGCAGAGGCGCGAAAAATTAGGAATTGTTAGAAGTTAAAATTCATAAGTCATTGAATTCCGTCAAAGTGACTGAATAGTAAACACGATTATCTTGTAATCGCGAAGTCTAGGAGTGCATTCTACTGAAAAGTCAGTGGTTCTTTGACCGAAATCAATCTATGATCAAACTTGTAACCAATCAAATCTTTACAAATGATTATGAGTAATAGTTTGTGCTCGAAACGTCATCATCAGTAAATATTACTGTAAAACATTATGTGATTTATCAAAATAAAATCTTATCAATAATGGAAGCATTATGATTATACATCTGGTGAAATACCCTATCCCTCCCTATCCACGGAACTTCATCAAAAGACATCTACCCTAAAGTCGTCAACCTACCAAATCATAGGCCTTCAATGAGAGCATAAAGAAAATCGCCCTACTATGCATAAAAGACATATTGGAAATTACTAAAAGACTTTTCAAACCTTTAGGAATTGATGTTGTACACGAACCAACAAAGTCCCTTTACTCAGCTCGCAGCTGTATGTCAACCAAAAGACTCAACAGCGAAAGAAGATAAAACCAACAACAGCTACGAAATAAGTTGCGACGACTGTGAAAACACTACATTGGATAAAGTGGATGTCCCTTTCGTTTTCGCATACATGAACATAAACTAACCGTCAAAAGACATGGCATCCACTCTATCTCTTATATCACTGTATACAGACAACCATCAATTCAACTTCGACAATGTTCAAATCTTAGACAGATGAAACATCAAAAACGCCAGAGAATTTTTACAACCCAGGTATTTCAGTGAATCATCAATTAACAGACACATCGATATAGAAAAAATTAACCAATTGATAAGAAGACAATCTAATACTCAAAGGGTCGAACTTCAGGTCAAGGAAACACTCAGTACCAATACAATTAGCCTAGAGGGTGTGAAAACACACAAAAACAACCAATCACGGTAAAGGTCACCCACCAGGAGAAATGACTGATAAACTCGTGGAGAAATCTAACAACTCACTTCAAGAAATTGAAGTATGCTCTGAAGAAATTGTCTATTAGGGCAATCAATGAAAGCTTCGCAAATAAACCATCCAGCCCACAGAACACGACTACATCAAAATCCCTATGTTTTTAGGCAAACTGACTGACTCACTACCTATTCGTTTGGCCTGTGTATTTGACCACACAGTTTTTAGAAAGTATATGATATGATATGACTTCAAATTGAAGTATGCGTTGAAGATGTCACCCAGTAGGGTGATGAAAGCTTCGCAAATTAACCATCCAGCTCAGAGAACAAAACCACATCAAAATCATCCACCTGAGCTACAAATCTTCTCTATCATATCTAAATATGATATGTTTATCTGGTTGAGTTAATTTCATTGTCAAGCCGACAAAACTCGTCTCTAGGTGGGTTTTGAAGTTTATGTGATACTTTAAAACAAACCTTATTAGGAATCGCATACTTTGTTTCATACGCAGCTTATGAGTGCAAATAAACTCTAATATCCAAAGAGAATCAATAGAGTATAAAGTTATTTCTGTAGTCATCAAACATCGGAATATGTCACACAAAGTTCCCCCAACTGACTTGTGAATTAATTGTTAAGTCAAAGATTCTAGGAGTGTTTTACCGAAGAGGATTGTCTACTACGCTTGATGGTATCCCTGCACCACTTCGTAGACATCAAAAAACAATTAATTGAAGTCTTATGTTTTTAAGCAAGTCTGTTAGTCAGCTTGGTCGGGAAGCTGAATAGAACATTTTTTTCGACATCTCAACGAAACTGTATACTAAAGGTAAGAAACTGATACACGCTTAAGTGTATCATTGAAAGAACCAGTAAGTACATAAAACGAGACACACAAGACAGTTGTCTTCTATAGTTTTAGTTTGTAAGGGTTAGTCCAGTACTACCTGGTTTTCAATGGTTCTCTAACTGATATCAATCCGTGATCAACTCGTAAAAGGGAGTTGTCTGTTATTCACTAGTAAGCAATAGATTTAATTCATTCCAAGTAGCTAAATGATCAATGAGCTCTCCTCGTCACCTGAAGGCTCTTGGGTTAGATCCCCTGTGGGGTCACGGAGACATGCTACTGAAGAGTACCAAACTAGGACAATACACCTGCTGTCTAGAACTCCTCAGTTTTCATATGTTCGCGGTTTGATGGGAAAATGCTTGTCAACCATACAACTAGTCCGTAGTTAAACTCCTGACACATCCACTAATAAACTTCACCTAGTTTCAGAGATGTTAGTACGGCTGGCTTAAGGGCCAGCAAACAGGCCCCGCAAAAATAACTCACTCTGTCTGTCTGTCTGCTTTCGACATAGAACTTCGCACCGATGTGCGGCGATGACTAGGCATATGTAACACATGTCCTAACCATCTCAGTCAATGTAGTTTCACAGCCTCGTCGATTGATTTACCCTCCTTACCTAGAACTCGACGCCTAACTTCAATTTCGCTCTCCCTGTTATACCACTTCACAAAGGAGATAGAACTCAGGCACTCAAAGACAGCTAGCTGGAATTTTCGTATCTTCCACTCTCAATGGCCAGGTCTCACAGCCATAAAGGAGGACGGAGCGGACTGATGAGCAGTACACCCTTTGGTCGATAGCCGGATATCACGTCTACGCCAGAGACGGCGTAAACTGGCAAATGCGAAACTAGCCCTCTGTATGCGTGCTGAGATTTCGTCAGAGATCAACCCAAAGTGAAGAGGTCAACGTGCTCTACCACTTCACCCCCTATTTCTAAACTAGGAGTCGGTGTAGTCCAGTCCTGTAACATCATCTTGCATTTGGTGGGAGCGAATCACGTGCCAAACATTCGTAAATTGCAGCTCAAGGTGTTCCGAAGACTCTGCATTACGTCACCATATCATCTGCATATTCTTAGTCAACAAGATTATACCCTGGTAGCAAGTTAATTCCTGAGTCGCTGATATGATTTAGGGTTAAGTCCATTAGTACATCTAAGATGAAATTGAATAGAAATGGGGATAATGGGCATCCTTGACGGACATCACTAGTTGTCACCAGTTCAAATGACAACTCGCCGTAAGCCCTCACCTGGCTGCATGAGTTCGAGTAGAGTGAGTGACGTGATCAGTGCAGTGTATTTTCTCGGAATTCCCTTTACAGACAAGCATCGCCAAAATACTTCTCGGTCGACAGAATCGATGGCTGATGAAACTTCAAACTCTGAAGTCCTATCGTCCACATGCAATTTAAAAGGATTAAGAAACTGTAACTTACTAGTCATACTATATAGCTTTCAAATGTACTCGACCAGATAAGTATTCTCCATGAAATTCTCTTGTATGACTACTTCATAACAACTACATTTAACTATTCTGACAGAAAGTTCTTAAAGGATTATAAAGGTTTGAATGAAATACTGAAGGTATACACAAGATTTGTTGACTGAAAATCAGATAGTCGTGTTAAGTTCCATAGAAATTTATTCCGCCTTACCTAAATCCCACCAAATTAAAGGATAAGCTATCAGGTGTTTCCTATAGACATTTCTTAAGGCTGATCTCAAAGATAATAACACCAACAATTAGGAATCTAAATCATCAATAGTAATTTGATACAAAGAAGGAACCTCGGAAACCTTACGCAGAACTCTTTTCAAGGAAGGAATAAAAGTGGCTAGCATTCAAGCTGCCCACAAACTCAATTAGAAACAAGCTTTGTCGGTTAAATGGTGGATCCTGTGGTGCCTTTAAAATAAAACAATTTAGTTTATCTAATACACTGCCTGCTGGAATGATTGTCAGGTCAAACACATAGGTTAAACTAGTAGAACTGGGGTCAGTCAGTCAGACTAGCCAAGCATAACAACATAGCGAAATCTAGATTAGTTGACCTCAACAATAAGATAAGAAATCTGGAGAATATTTCAGCCGTAGATAGCACTCACTACATGCAGTTACACACAACCATACAATAGGATGGGATAGGATGACAGTTTTAAAATCGAATGCAACTATCAGGGTGGAGGGAGAGATTGATAACAGAAGCTTTATTTATCGAATCAAATGAGAGAGAATACATGTTACAGGAATGATTCAACACCTGTCCCAGATATCTGGAAAATTGTACTACCTTAACGATGTTAAATAGGAGAGAAAAAAGAAAACTATAAAACTCGAGTTTCGAAGTCGTGTGATTATAATTGATGACATGATTATGAACAATAAATTTTGTTCGAAACTTTGTCATCCAGTAAGTAATACTGTTTCACTGACTGTGTGATACATCTAAAAACAGACTAATATGGAATTGTATACTACCATAGTGCCCAAGTTTTACACATATATTATCATGATAATAAGGTTAGTCCATACGATATTTTTGTATTCCTTTGCACTCTCAGTGGAATATAGGTCTTCAAGCTGGAGCTTTGAAGTGTGGTGTTTATTATTCCAGGATGGGTTTGCTAGCTTCATGCCCACCCGGCCTTTCCTCTTTAGCAGTTTTATTACTGGCTTAGCGACGTAAATGAGTGCATTGGCCAAGGATCAAATATAAACCACCTGCGTGGTTGGGGAGCATTTTACCGGTGTGGCAACTATGGTATACGATACGGATATGGAGAAATTATGACCTATTAAATGTCTGAGCAAAACGTTGTGATCAGCACGCATTTTGTGAAATAATTCTATAGAACTGGTATCTAAGGCAAATTTTTCATGATGTGATTATTTAACATAATTAGAGAGTAAGAAAACTTCTGATCGAATTGAAATGTTAATATCCTTTTATCTCACCTGTTCAGCCATTTCAATAGCTTTCCGCCTTGCTTCAACTTGTTCATGTCTAACTTTTAAACGTTGACGTATTTCCATTAGCTTAGCTTCTCTACGCTCAGATGCTTTATGTCTAGCTAGTATGACTGCTTCTTCAGAAGCCAGTAGATGAGCTTGTTTTATAGCAGAACGTTTTTCATCAGCTGCTTTAGATATCACCCTTCTGTCTTTCATAAACGATGAGGATGATGTTGTTGACGATGAAAATAATAATAAATTGCTTTTTTCAGGCTTTTGTTCATTATTACGACAACACGACGACGGTACAGGGACTGGAGTTTTAGTACGATGTGGTTGACTAACTGAATTACATGTAGAAGTATGCAGTATCTTGGTATTATTAACACGACATAATGAATTTGCTGTTGTTCCATCTTGGACGCCATCACCGACACCATGTGTGTCACCACCTGATTGGATGACTTCTGTTCTTTTACATATCTCTATAAATGAAGAAGACATGAAAATATTAAAAAAAATTAAAAGACACAGATGATTGGGATAAAATTATGTGGTCTGAAAAAGAAAAATATTCATTTTATTGACTCCTTCATCATCAAGGTTCTACACTTATATACGCATAAGACAATATAAAGATACTACTTTTTACAATAATATTGTTTTGTATAACACTGGATTAACCATATCATCAATAGATAACACTTTGAAAAGCGTCTGCAAGTGAAAATATGCATCAATATAACACTAAGCTAAATATCCATCGACTGAGATGGTTAGGACATGTGTTACGCGTGCATGCCTAGTCATCGCCTTCCTCGACTGACGGGCAATGTTAGCTGATATAGGGTCGGGCTGGAAAAGAACTAGCGGTGGTCAAACAAAAACATGTCTTCATCAGTCAATGAAATCCACAAAAGTTAGCTTAAGCCACGTAGGAAAGTGTAGACTTCTTGACTAGTTGGGGTCCTCGGGACGGTAGAAACCATTGGAGGCTGTAGACAATTGGTGATATGGCTCAAATTCATCGTTCTCAATGACTAGCGCAGATGCATCCACTCCTTGTGACCCATGACTTCCTATAAAACTATATTGTTCTTCGTTATTACTATTCCTTTGTCTCACACCTCTGTTTACTGCGTCTAATATGCATTTCTTCTACTTTCTTCTCTGGCTTTGTGTGCTACAGAGAGGGAGTATGGCGACTTGAACTGCCGCACATAGGTGAAAAGTTCTATGTTGAAAACAGACGGACAGAAGCTAAATATCAGATAAACGAAGAAACGCAATAGAGGATTTATGAATTTATGGGTTCCATAGTAGGCCAGGGTAACAACAGTGGCTGGTTCTGTTTCTCGTGAACACAGATATCTGGTTGTTTTAAGCGATTTGCAACAGCCCCTGCTGTTTGGAATGTTTAGTGTTTGGAGGTTTTTAGCGATTTTCCGATATTTTATTTTATTTTCTTATTTTTATTTTTGATAACAGCTTGATTCCACACCGTATTTTTGGTACAAGTGTGGAATTTTCAGCGTGGATATCGGTAGCCCAAAATTCGCAGGCCGACCATAGATATCAGGTGTGCGTCGGCGTGGGCTCGAACTCGGACCATGTGCATGGTCGGCGAGAGTCCTAACCACTGTGCCACCGACGCACAGATAGATAACAGAAAAGAACTCTCCAATGCTACCTTTTTGGTGCATTTGGACGAGATCGTCTATTATAGAACTGTTGATAGTTTTAATTTCACTCTTATTTATACCAAGAATAAGCGAGATAATCTTTAAAGATAATTCATCAAGGAGAGTGCATATGATAGAATATGTTGACGACGACTATATAAACAGTACATCTCAGTTATCCTATAAACTAAAATTCACACCGGATGTAAAAAGTCATGCATATAACCAATTTTAATAATTTTAAACAATTGGTCAACTATTGGCTTCACAATTCACCAACAATAAGCCTCCATTTTTGTTCATGTCCATTTTTGTCCATTTTCATGACTGTAAAAACAGATTAACCAGTTATTACAATGAGGACGAATTGATAAAACAATAAGTGTACAATAGAGAACTTTATTTTGTTTAGTTTTGTTAGTACCAATGAAATTTTTAGTATCCTTAGGATGTTTAATTGTTATGATATCCTCTGAAATCATCCTATAAGAGATTTCATTAGACTGTGGCTATGAAGGGGTTTCAAGTTAAATTATGAGCTCACAATAGTTAGACAACAGCTAGAAACCAAGAAGTACTGGGCAATTGTTTTATCCTAGTTCAGGACTCTTCATTGACACTCACTTACAACCTCAGCAAATTGGAATGTCAGCACACATGGTCACCGAAGACACTGGCTGCTGGTAGCGCTACATATATATATATTTCGAATTGACTGGGATTAGAGTTTAGGGGTAAGTCAATTCCATTTCACTAGGTAAATGTTCTATTGTGGTGAGAGGTGGCTGCTAACCAAAAGTGGTAGACAGTATTTTACTTCAGTGTGTATGTCCCAAATATTGGTCGTGAGACAATATGAACAAAGACTGGTTAAAAAAAGAACCACAGCACACTTTGCGTAGGCCGATACAGTTAACATATAGATGATCTGACATTCAAGAAACAGTCACAAAGAGATGCAAGGTTAACTTTCAGTGAGAAAAAACCAATCAGAAGACTGTGTTTGTTTGCTTAAATAATCTATAATAATGTACATGAAAATATATAAATACGTGTTGATTTCCTTAATAAACGATCTGTTTCCTGGCCCTTGTCTTCTGCTGTTACACTATGACCTGACCTAGTAATCTAAAAGTCCTTGGTTCTATCAGCGTTGATGTCGTGGATGAGTATAGTTGAAGAGTCCTAAACTAGGACTAATCAGCAGTTCATTACTCCTGAATTCTACGTGAGTTCATGATGAAATATTTCCCGAAATCGATCAAATCCATAAAAAGATTCACTTGAGAAACAAACCTCAGTTGATAATTCCATTTCATGTCTAGCGAATTAAAATGTTTATAGTGTCAAGAATAAAAGTGAATGCATATAACAGGCGTCATTTTCGACGTGTACACAAAACCTGGCTATCGAATAAAGAAACGGTGTACTGCGTAATAGTTCACTCCATTCTTCTTTGTCTGTGAGATAAAGGCTGTTAAAAGTGGAATATATGAAGAGACTAATCGCCTATAGCGGGAAGTTGTGACTAGTAGGGTGCAGCAGGTTGGGTGTGAGGACAAACACTCGCCGAAGACATTGACTAGCGGTTGCGCTATATCGTCAATTGGCAGAAGTTAGAATTCATGGGCTGGCCATTGGATCGAGTCCCAGTAGCTTAATGGTCTACGAGCTCTGCTTGTAACCAAAGGGTCCTGGGGTCGAAACCTGGTTGGTGCCTACTGATGAAGAGTCCCAAACTAAGACGAAACAGCTAGTTGTCCATTACTCCCAGGTTTTCCAATGGTTCTCTAACCGATGTCAGCTTATGATGAAATCCTGTAGTCAATCAACCAAATCCATACAAAGCAATATTTGTTCATAAGTGTTTGTATTCTGTATCATGTTTTAGGTGGTTTATTATAATTCTTAATCTTGAGGCTAAGGTCAATAGATTAGCTAAACAGGGAGAATTATTAACTCAGCCTGCAAAGGCAGAGATAGCTATGACATGTGTTACGCATGACAAACTATCGTCTTTCACGTTGACTAATACTAGCTGGTATAAAGTGAAAGTGGTCAGACCATATCATGGCATCATTCCATTAAGTTTTCCGATGGTTGATATGAATGATGTAGATTGGCCTAGTCTACCTAGTTGACATCATCAAGACGCTGGAAACAAATGACTTAAAGGTGTTGTAGATGTTGCAGATATATATCCACTCACTGTGGTCCTTCAGATCTATTAAATCCTCAATTATTCAAGTATTGGTTTTGTAGGGATTTTGTTTAATTGCATGGAGGATTTCATCATGGGTTGAAATCAGTTATAGAATCTTTGGAAAATCTGCAGGGAGTACTTGACAGCTGTTTCGTCGGCCTAGTTTGGGACTCTTCACAGTAGGCACTCACTGGGAATCGAACCCAGTACCTTCTGATTACAAGGCAAGCGAGCTCGTAGATCAGTACTCCCAGCTTGTTTTCCAATGGTTCTCTAACCAATGTTATAAATACTTTGCATACATTGTTTTGAATTTCACAGAAAATTCGAATACAATTAATATTACAAAGCATTTGACAATAAATGTTTCATATGGTTGAAGCATACGCATATTAGGAAATATAAAGTAGCGAATCATTTTTGTATGTGATATCACACAACTATTACCCTTGATACACACATTTTACAACGGATGACATAAATGTAGGTGTACACTGCAAGTTAACAGGACATTATTTCTGACAAAAAATACACTTCATGCACTACTTCTTCCACGTTTTAATTTACTTTCACTCTCAATATACCTATACACTTGACAACCTACAAAGTCGTATATGTATTTTTGAAAAATTATTACTGAATTATAGTAGCAATAATAATAATAATAAATTTCGCTTTTATAAATCAATACTGAGTAAAGGTAAACTATACCACCTCAGACGCTATCAAATACGAATGACTTTGATTGAATCTGTATGAAAGGAAAAGCAAAACTTCGTTTGAAAAAAAAAGACAAAAGTCAAGTTCAACATTATTGGTATTCAGGATTTCATCATGAGCTGACATTAGTTAGAGAACCATTGGAAAACCTGGGAGTACTGGAAAGCTGTTTCGTCCTAGTTTGGGACTCTTCATCAGTACGCACCCACCGCCAGGGTTCGAACCCAGGACCTTCCGGTTACAAGGCGAGCTCGTATACCATTAAGCCACTGGGACCCGATCCAATGGCCAGTGCATGAATTCTAACTTCTGCCAATTCACGACATAGCGTGACCGCTAGCCAATGTCTTCGGTGCGTCTTTGTCCTCACACCCGACCAGCTGCACCCTACTGGTCACGACTTCTCACTGGAACCCAGGTAACTACCTACCTGAATAGGGCCAGTCGCCAGTGAGCATCTCATTGGTATTCAAGTGTTGGTTTGTAGGGATTTGATTGGTTTCAGGATTTCATCATGAGCTGACATTAGTTTTCCAATGGTTCTCTAACTAATGTCAGCTCATGATGAAATCCTGAAACCAATCAAATCCCTACAAACCAACACTTGAATTATTGGTATTAATGATTATAATTATTATTATTATTATTATATTAGTATTCCCTTGTGTTCACAGTGGAACATAAGGCTTCAACAACACATCTTCATTTTGTTCTATTTTCTGCAGTCCCCCGCAGCTTAGTTGGTTGGTCCACGATCGCCTATAATGTCTCATCTCCTTCAATTCTCAAGACCTACTCCACCATGTCACCCTTAGAAAAATGAACCACTTGTCGCTGATGCTGTTCAGGATTTCAAGGAAAGATTTTTCCCGTAAAAAAC